GTTGCCTTGATGTCTATAAGTGCTGCAATATATCAAATATGCCAACACTAAAATGGAAAAATTTGTTCTCATAAATATTGATCAAGCTATTCACGGAGGCATCAACAAATGATTTTGCTAGATCAATTTGTTAAGCAGGCTTTTCAACATTAAAAGCCTGATATATAAATTCACTAGTATCTTTAAAATCAAGTTTTGGGAATCACATAGTCTGGAAATATTTATCTAAATAATCTTGCAAACTTCAGGTTGCAAATTAATATCAATCACACATCTTACCATTTTATATAGATGCATCTATCAAATATTAAATACTTGTATGGCTTATGTGCTTCTAAATGGGCCCATATATATTTCCAGAAATATAGTGATCCATTCGAAAACAAAACATAACTAGTGATATTTTATAATCAATTTTCTTTGAGAACAAGCAGCACATACGGATTCTTAAAAATGTTGGCTATTCAGAAGAATCTTCTGGTTCTTCAATGGATATCAATACATAATCTTCAATAATTATATAGTTTAAGATGATCAAACAAGTCATGCCAACAATAAATCTAATTATATCAGTAAACTTCTGGTTTACTGTATCATGTTTCGTTACCAATAATAAACTTTTCAATATAATATATGATTGATGATATCCATTTATGAAATTGATATGAAAAATATATCCAATATCAACTCATATTTGTATTTCAACAGTTTTTCCCCTCAAGATTGAGTCATTCAAATATGATTCATTTATTCATATATTTCATAAATAGCTGCTAGCATAAAATAGGTTAAAGCCAATAACCTATCTTTTACTTGGAAGCCTAAGTACTTCCTAGTTCATATATAGTTATGGACTTTGATCCAATTATACTATAACATTTACACTCTTTGGAGAACTAAAGCTGTGATATAGATCTATGGGTCATATTTTTCACTATCAATACTTTGTCTGCTCATAAAGAAAAATCAGTATTAGTTTTTCTGGAACTATATTAATACTATTACATCTAGTTCTTCAGGAACTATATAATTTAAGAGGAATATGAAAGACAACTCTATTTCAATATATTATTAACATAATAATAAATAATTATGAGTATCATAGATTTAACTTACAAGACACATAGAAAACACACAAAAATGATAAGAACATTTAAAATGAACTTTTAAAAGTAAAGTACTTAATGTTCAAAACTTCTCAATATTAATCAAGGTACTATAGACATTTAAAATGTTCAAAACTAATATTAAATCAGATCACATAAATAAGATATAAATAAACAAAATATAACTAGTAACTCTTGAGTCTATTTGATCTATTTAGTTTTATATCACACACTTATCAATATTACAATATCAAATTTTTATAAGATTTGTTTCTCACAAATCACAATAAATTTAAAGACCAATAAAAATTAAACATTATACACATAGCCTTCTAGGCATATACTTATATGTTTTCTATTTTTATATATATATTGGATATCTATCTTTCTTCACAACTTACTGTCTTCAGGCATTAAAATTAGCTTCGATATTTTCATAATATCACATGGTCTTTTTGATTCCACAACCATTTTTCTTTAACATTTGCTTTTCAATGAACTAATATATATTTGTCTATATGACTTCTGGTCATATTATAATAGTTGTTCATAATTTTATCATATTGATCATAGGGCCATTACTAATTCTGCTATTATGATTCAATAGTCAAGTCCCAAGATTATTGCCCTTTTAGTTATCAGTTCCACTGATACAATGTTATCATATTCTTTATCACTCTTATGGATATATTCCTTGCTTTCAATAGCATATCACCATTTTTCTCAAATATTAGTCTTCTGGACTATAACAAAATTTTTAGAACTATGAAGTTCTTTTGTATCGTGAGTTTTTAACCATCAATCATCAGGACTTTGATATACATTATCAAATTGTGACAGTCTTGTCATGCCATCTGTTACTACCATAAGATAGTCTTTTATTAAATAATCATCAAAATGTGATGTGGCTTCTGGCCATCTAATCACAAAATCAAGAATATAATGGCTATTAGCCATTCATTTATATGTTTAACATTCTACTTTCCAAGACAACAATTAACCAATATCAGAGATGATAATCATATATAGTAATTTTATAGATAAACATAAACCTCATAGCAAATCAAGGAGTATTAAGGATAGTAGGATCATAAAAATATAAGAAAAGAAATAAAAAATAAAAATTTTCATATCTTAATAGGATGAATAAAATATTCGATTGCCAATGAATCAATATGGTTAATATGCAAAACCATCATTTGCTTTAAATAAATTGGAGAAATCTTACCAAACTTTCGGATCAAACTATCTTCATTCAACGAACAAAATATCAACGTGCATCAACTAGAAACCATGAACTCTGATGGTAGAATCTCGTGCTGATAACGTGTTATGAAATTAACCAACAATGAGAGTAGATTGGAGAAGAGAAGTAGACAAAAAAAATGAGAGAATGATATTGTATTCCTTTACTTGCTTCACAATACAATGGCATGCCTCATTTATAGGCATAGTCTTACATATAAGTTACATTGGTACTTAAATGATAGATAGTGGATAATAAACCACATGAATATGAGTGGGGGGAGTTACAAGATTAAAGGCATAGTGGAAAGGTAATGGAGTAATGGAAGATTAATGCCTAGTGGAAGTAGTGGGAGTTGATGATGAAGTTGAGAGGAAGAGGAAGAGGAAGAGGAAGAAGAGGAGATGGACATCCACATGTTATAATATTCATAATAATTTTAATATATAAATCATAATATGAAATTCTCACAGATGAAATAGGGGATATGCATATTTTTAATAACAAATGCTTGTATTTTTTTAAAAAAAAAGTCAGTGGACCAGGCAACGGTGAACGAATATAAGAGCATACGAGTTCATTTTTAATCTAATGACTAAAGGATTCTTTAACTGAAATATTAAAAACCGAATGATTTATAGATTTTGATTTGTCAATGATCAAAATATCAAATAAAATTAAATATATTTTATCATGAAATAAAAACGATGGATAATTAGGAGTGGATTGTTGGCAGAAAAAAAAAAACTAGGACTTAATTAATCAAACTATACAAGACTTATCATCTTGAGAATCATCAAAATCATTTGTTGGTGATATTCTTTTATCAGCAATTGTAGATTATATTCCTCTGGTCTTTAATAAAATACCTAATTTGAAAGTTCATATCAGTCTTATATGTAAAAATTATTTTATATGTTTATCAATTTTTTTAATTTAACTTTATTAATATTTTTCTAACAATAATTAAGTAGGAGAAAGAAGGAGGGAATCAAGAAAGATGCTTGGAGTGTTTAAAAAAAAAAATCATATTAATTAATTTAAGTAACTTTTTAATCTACTCAAATTAGTTAATTAGATCATATTTTAAGAACTAGAGGAGTATTATTATTTGGATTTTGGGGGATATATATCATTTGAAATTTCATAATCATATATGTAAATCTCAAAACAGGATTATTATATTCTCCAAGTTTATCATTATTTTAGAGAACTGTTTAATTAGTCTTATAAAAAAGGAGAACTGTTTAATTGAATATTAAAATGAATGATTTGGAAATTAAGTTATGATAGATTACTCAACATAAAGTTTTTTTGGTCGGCTTAGAATCTGTACTCACGAAAAGCAGCTACTTGCCTACATCCCATATGCATAATTTTTAAATCGAAGATATTACAATGGACACAGTAAAATATTTCTTCGGCCAAAAAATTTAAAATAGATTTAATAGAGTTATAAATTTTTCACCTTAGATTACATTTTATTTTGATATTATTAATTAAATATTTATTTACTTGGAGATCTTAATTTACATTTTTTACCGTTTTATATAAATCTCAGAAATTTACATAGGTGTGGTAAATTAAAAAGCTAATCTTAAGCAATTCACATTCAGAAATTTATAATTTACCTATTCGAAATTCAAATAATTTTTATGGGTGAGCTAAATATCTAATGCTGCTAATAACTAACTATCAGTTAACCGAGGATTGTGTGATGACGAAATCCCAACAGAAATATTTCATGATTTTGATTCGTTACGGAAGAAGTATAGAATAAAAATAAAATATATTTTTAACCTAGGATGAGAATTTATAAAATTTAAAATTTAAAATAGTTCAAATCAAATATGAGTGACTTAGATAGATTAAATAGTTATTTTATAATCAATCAACTTAATGTATTATCGGTAGTATTATTTTTAATAAGAAAAATGCATTAACACATATCTTCTGGTTTTTATCACGAATTAAAGCAATCTAAATTTGGTAGAATAATCAGCAGGATCGGGGCTAACAATTATTCCAAATCAAGAAGATCTAATTTATCCTCAAGATGAAGAAATAGACAAAGTCAACCAATGGGCAAAGGGAAAAAATGAAAGGCGAAGCCAAGTGGCTGTCGCTCCCTTCTTTGATTATGGCTAGAGGAAAAGATTAGTCTTTCTTTTTCTCTCTTTTTTTTTCAAACAATGTAGTTTAGTTAATTTAATGTTATTAAACCCTTGAATAATTACGTCAGACCAATAACGAAAATCATAAATGAGCTTGTTGGGCTACTTGAGATTCCAGGCCCATTGCTTCATCAACTCAATGACCTGGGTTGGACGGTTGGCATCGTCCAGTGCACTAATCTAACGGTCTAAAATTCATCATGAAAAAGAATAGGATGCTTATCTTGGTGCAAACGCCACTCAAACCTCAGCTAATCGATCTGGTATATTTGTTTTAAACCGCAGGATCACGGAACTGCATTGAGAGTTATGTACATCACAAGTAGCGTATCAGGATCGTGGGGATGATGCTAATGAGGATTAGGATCTGATACATCAAAATTACATTACATCCGTATGCCTTCCGGTCTATGTTATAAATTTATTTTTACTTTAAGAAAATTGAGTCTTCATTTTCTTCATCGCTGTTCTCGTACCTTAATTTAATCCTCCAGACTCAGAAGAATCCGGCGATGAAGTGAGACGAAGAGGAAAGGAAGGGAAGGGAGAAGAACAGCCTTAATATTACCATAACATTTATTTTTGATTTCCATACAAAACTGGTTCTTCGACTTTCTCTAAGACCGATTAACCACTACAACTAGGTAACTCAACCATAAACCATTGAAACTTTGCGGTTGAGTCTACAACTTCCGTTAATTCCTCCTCAGTTTATCGGTTTTTTTTTGGCTGTCATTGCTGTTTTCAGTATGATTGCTTTGTCTTTTTTACCTGTGGATTTTTTCTTTTGCAAATGATCAACGCAGGACGTGTTTGCATATTATGTATATGTGTACATGTCAATTATATGTTCCCTCTGAGTGTTTCTATTTCCTCGCCCATCCTTTTTGCTCCTGAACTTGTTGTGTTTGATTTGTCTAGTGTCTGAGACTTCGAGGTTTCCCTGAGAGCTTTATGTCGGTTATCATTCGAATAGCACGAGTTTGTCCTTCCTTTCTCTTCGATCACTTTCCTGTCAATTTGGTCTTTTGTCTCTGATACGATTTCCTTATTGAGAAATAGGAGTATCATGACCGCTGTATCCCATTTTTGTTATGATCCTGATGACTAAATGACGAGATTAATTTTGAAGATAATAGGAAATAATTTCGTACTGTCTATAGGTACGAAAACTTTAATAATAGAACTGAGTTTGTTCTAGATCGGTCTTATGGACTTCTGCAAGAGGGAAAGAACAGAATATGCCGTCTTTCTAAATTAGGACTTTTTGGCCTGCCTTTGTTTAAGAGTTTATGGTAATGAATGGCAATCTGATAAGATTTTGATCTACACAGGTGTCTATTTGCATTGCTGGATAAAAACAATTAATGGAAAATCGAGGCCAGAAGCGCCCAGAAATGGTAGATGAACTACCTGCTGATAAACGCGTTTGCAGTTCATTGGACTTAAGACCAAGTTCTTCCAACACATCAAATCAAATCCATACCGATCCTACACACTCAATGCTAGAGACCCATGATAATGACATGGACACTTCCTCATCTGCTTCTGCTTCAAGTCGATCAGAGGGAGAACCTGAAAAGGATTCAGCTTATGGGTCATGTGATTCAGATGACATGGAGCAGCATTACTACAGTTTCCGAGGCTACCACAGGCAGAGATTATCTAGTGATCATGGGAAGTTCAAAAAAATTATATCAAGTCTGAGTGAAGAGACTGAGCCTTCTGCTCAACTAGCTGTTCTTACAGAACTTTGTGAAGTCTTGTCATTTTGTACAGAGGGTTCACTCTCCAGCATGACTTCAGATTCATTATCACCGCTACTGGTCAAGCTGGCAAAGCATGAGAGCAACCCAGATATAATGCTGTTGGCTATAAGGGCTATCACCTATATATGTGATGTCTATCCTAGATCAGCTGGAATCCTTGTTAGCCATGATGCTATTTCTGCTTTATGTCAAAGATTATTGGCTATTGAGTATCAAGATGTAGCTGAACAGGTTATTTATGGTCGTTTATTTGCAATACATCTTATTAATTTTTTTCCTTTATATGGTACGAAAGGAATGTATGATTATAAATCTTGTGTTAATGTAGTGTCTCCAAGCATTAGAGAAAATATCCCGAGAGCAACCACTCGCTTGCTTACATGCTGGGGCTATTATGGCTGTTCTAAATTTTATTGACTTCTTCTCAACAAGCATTCAGGTAAGCCTCAATCTGAACATTGGCATCGGCCTCATAAGAATTGGCCCTTTTTATGATGAACTTTTAACTCCTAGAATTTATTGGATTTAGTTGTTCTAGGACTTCTTGATGAAATAATTCTGTTTCACTAACCCCTCCTCTCCCTCAAAACATTTATCCAGAGAGTGGCTCTTTCAACTGTGGTGAACATATGTAAGAAGCTTCCTTCAGAAAGCCTGTCACCTTGCATGGATGCTCTACCCATTTTATGCAATCTTCTTCGTTATGAGGATCGGCAGGTACCACAGTGGACTTTGGATGATTATTCTGTATGTCTCTTCAGTGTTTTAATATATCTTTTAGTTATTAACCTTCTAAAATTAATTCTTCAGCTTGTAGAAAATGTTGCTACCTGCTTAATTAAAATAGTTGAGCAAGCTGGTCACTCATCCAAATTGTTGGATGAACTTTGTAAGCATGGGTTGATTCAACAAGTGTCACATATTTTAAGTTTGAATGGCCGAACTACTCTATCTCAACCAATTTATAATGTAAGAATCCCCCCCCCCCCCAATCTTTTAGCGTCTACATTTCTCCACTTATTTTCTCTATTGTCTTTGAAAATGAGAAGGGCTTATTATTTTGATTGGCAGGGATTGATAGGGCTACTTGTCAAGCTTTCTTCTGGTTCAGCTGTAGCTTTTAGGACTTTGTATGAACTAAATATAAGCAATGTATTGAAGGACATCTTGGCTACATCTGACCTTCCACATGGGGTCTCTTCTTCTCATCCCATAGGTGGACATTGCAATCAGGTATACAGCTTAGTCTGCAGTATTGTTTTGTCTTTGACTGTCTTGGTCCGCACAATTTAAATAATTATTGTAACTTCACATTCTGTGGTTAAACTTTTCAGAAAATAAGGCCAATACCTAGACCCTCAATCCGTCTTAGGATAATGACACTATCTTATGGACTCATTTTAAGTCGTATGGGGATTTAGAAGAACATGTCTTTTTCAGGTCCTTATTGGGCTAGGTTTGCATATTCAGTTTGGAATGCAGAAATCTTTATAGCAGAGCATTTAAGTTCAGTCCTCAAATTTTCACATTTAATTTATTTATCTAAAATTTGCCAATTAACTCCTCAAACACCTCTCCTATATATTGCACTGCAGCATCTGATTTCTTTTTTTTACTTTTTCTTTTAAATCCTATTCTAAAGAAACCTCACCTAAAATTCCACTCAATTCATAATTCCTCTTGTTGCATGCCCAAACCTAATCATTTTAAGTATTCATGTATTCTGCAGACTAAAGTAGTGCTTGGTGTGACTTGTCTAAATATCATTCATTTGAATAATCATAAAGCAAGACGTATGGATATTGTAGGTCAAACCAGCAGTACATTACTGCTATCTGAATCAGAACACCGTTGTCATATTCTATTGGTTAAGATAAAAAGATATGCTGTTTTTCTTACTGGTGATGTTATTTTCTGCTTTCAAATTGAAAGTATAATATAGGGTTTATGTATAGATATGTTTTTAATTCATTGCTTAGCAATATTTTTATGTGAATTTGTGGTCATTGATGGACTAACGAGACTTTCTGGTTAACAACCTAATTAAAGACTTCATTGTTGATGGAGCACATTGGCGTCAGGCTATCCATGTAGCCAATCCCACCTAGTGGGATAAGGCTTGTTGTTGTTGTTATTGCATGACATGGTCAGACTTGAGAATCTAATCTAGAGTTGTAATTTGGCCTCTGAATTTTTCCTTCCCTATACAGAAGTAGAGATTGGCGAGAGCAGGGAAATGCTCTATAAACGCAGTTTACAGCCTCTGAAGTTGGGGAGTTTTCTAGTCAAAAGTTGCATGTTTTCTAATTGAAGTTAGTTAATCACGGATCTAGAAAGTCATAATTGAATATATTGCACTTTGATTACTTTTTGCCACAGTAACAGATTGGTTTTATGCAGTTTCAAAATTATGTAATTCAAATGTGTTGTGGATATCTTGAATCCATGAATTAGCGCAGCCAAATGTGGAGTACCCAATGTAATTATTCCCCAACTCCATGATACGCAGAAATTTCTTATAAACATGTCGGATGAAATAGACCATGTTGTCACGCTGGCTGTTCATCATGTATGATTCAAAATTCTAAGGTTTTATGCTGTAATATAGTTAGTTGAAGCGTGTATTTCTCTTCTTTTGTTACATAAAATGTTATGAGCGATGCGTAGCCTATGCCACAGCCTATGAGAGGATTTGGAGTTTTGATCCCAACTCTTTTGCTACATCTGTCGAGTTTTGTCTTTGGTATTTCTTTCCTTGTGTTGAAGGGAGGCTTCAATGCGCAGCATATTACTTGGTTCAATTTTTCCTCCATTAACAAATTAAAATTTGTCCCATTTAGTATGCGTTTTTTGACAAAAATAATATTTAAGTGAATATTGATTGAGGATTGATGGTAATGTCAGGTATATGAAGTTCTGAAATTGCTCAACGAGCTTCTCCCCAGGTTGGACAAAGATCAGAATGATCAACTAATGCTAGATAAAGAATCCTTTCTTGTTAATCACCCAGATCATCTGCAGACGTTCGGGATGGATGTGGTTCCCCTGTTGATCCAGGTTAGTTTTTTCCTAAAAGACATGTTTTCTGTTTTATGTCCTTTTCATTATTTTATTTTACTCGTCTGCCCCCTTTTACAGGTGTTTAATTCTGGTGCAAGTTTAAATGTTTGCCATGGATGTTTATTTGTTATGCACAAGTTGGTTTATTTGAGCAACTCTGACATGCTTGTTGAATCACTTAAGAATGCCGGCATTTCAAGGTATAGCAAGTTGCCCTATCCTCCTTGTTGAAGTGTTCAATTAAATAATTTTGAAAATGTATTGATTTCATCTAGTTAATGCGGCAGTTTTTTAGCTGGAGTATTCACTCGAAAGGATCACCATTTGCTGATATTAGCCTTACAGATTGCCGAGATAATTCTTAATAAGGTTTCAGATGATTTCCTGACGTTGTTTATAAAGGAAGGTGTCTTTTTTGCCATTGATGCACTATTAACACCAGGAAGCTCGTCAGAGTTGATGTACCCAGTTTTTGGTGGCATCCAATTGGCATTTGACTCAAGTCAAAAGTCTTCTTCTAGGGACCTCAAATGCCTGTGTTATGCATTTTCTACTAATGAACCGTGCACAGCAGTATCAGATGCAGGAACTTGCAAGCTTGAGAAGGAATCAATTATTAATCTTGCAAAGCATATAAAGTCGAAATTCTTAGCACCAGAATTATATGATTCTGAAAAAGGATTGACTGAAATTCTTCAAAATCTCAGAGCATTGTCTGTGGCATTAAATGATTCGCTTGGCACAACTACTAGCAATGGTTCTCGTCTTCTGCCTGAAGAGAGGGTTGATGATATACTGTATCAAATTATGGAGAAGCTTACAGGCAAGGAACAAGTTTCTACCTTTGAATTTATTGAGAGTGGAATTGTTAAATCATTGATAAACTATTTATCTAATGGTCTGCTTATGAGGAAAAATGGGGGAAGACAAGGTGGTTATGATGTTGTGATTGAAAAACGATTTGAGGTTCTGGCAAGGGTATGTTTATCTTATCCTCAGCTTCCTTCTGGAGACACGCCCCTCTCTTTTCTAATACGGAACTTACAGAGTGCACTGACTTCTTTGGAGGCTTTTCCTGTTATTCTAAGCAATGGACTGAAACTAAGGGGTTCCTATGCTACAGTTCCAAATAGATGTCCGATACCATATCCTTGCCTGAAAGTTCGTTTTGTCAAGGGTGAGGGAGAGACATGCCTTAATAATTACACCGAGGATTTTCATACAGTTGATCCTTTTTCATCCTTACATGCTATTGGGGGATATTTATGGCCAAAGGTTAGCTCAAAAAGCACTAATAATGTAAAGTCATCATCCAGCCAAGTAGCATTCCATGCAGAAAATCCACCCATTCATCTGCCGTCAAATGCAAGTTCCTCTCAAGTGAATATTGGGCCTGATGTTTTGCTAGCTCATGTCATTGAGAGACAGGTTACATTTCTAAAGCCCTGGTTACTGAGTTTACTGGTTCACTGATGCTGCATTCTGTTCCTTTATTTTTGACTGTTTAATGTCTTTTCCCTTTTCTTTTCTGGGTATGGCACCTGGATTTTCTTACGAGCAGATCTGTTTATTTTGCAGGGAGAAGAGACACAGCTGTTACAACCTGGGCCTGATCAAACTGTCAGTGCAAATTCAGGGGAATCATCTTCCTCTGAAACACATGTAAGTACGGCTATTGCTATAGAAAATATCTTTGCATCAACGATTTTATACATTTCATTATTCATCACTACTGCTTAATGGTTAATTCTAAAGCTTCCTTTTTTTCATGTTTTGAATTCATTGTGCTTTAGTTCTTATATCTCTTTTCAATCTTCAAATTTCTATTAAGAACAGTTCTAATATGCATGTGTTTTAGCTTACTTTTTGACTTTTATGATTATATTCAACAGGGGCATGAAGAGAGAGAACCCCAATTGAATGCAGAAGCAGGCCCAAAACTGGAAGGTCATCCGGGTTCTTGTAGTAATGAAGCTGAACAAAAGCTTGTGTTTTACCTTGAAGAACAGCAGCTGGATCCTAAACTGACAATGTACCAGGCAATTCTTGGTCAAGTGATGAAACAAAATGACTCTTTCTCTAGTGCAAAACTGTGGAGTCAAGTACACACAATAACTTATAGAATGGCTGTGAAATCTGAGGATGTGGCCCCTCCAAAACGTCTTCATTCACCTGAAGATGTGTTTATCATTGATAAAGTTACAGCTTACATGCAGGACACTCCTTTTTTCTCGGACATGTTCTCCTGTGAACTTGTTTCTGATTTGGAGAAATCAAGCCCGACTCATGATATTTTGTTTCTCCTTAAAAGCTTGGAAGGCATGAATAGATTTATCTTTCACCTCATGTCTCGTGAAAGAATTTGTGCTTTTGCTGAAGGGAAACTTGATAACCTGGATAGCCTGAAAGTACTGGTTCCTTCTGTCCGACAAAATGAGTTTGTGAGTGCAAAATTGACAGAAAAACTGGAACAACAAATGCGAGATCCTTTTACAGTCTCTATTGGTGCTATGCCTCTATGGTGTAATCAGTTGATGGTTTCATGCCCTTTCCTATTTAGTTTTGAGGCAAGATGCAAGTACTTTAAATTGGCAGCATTTGGTCAGCAACAGATTCAACCTCATTTATCTTACAATGATTCAGCAACAACAAGCAGCAGGCGCCTGAGCCTTGGGGTATTGCCTCGGAAGAAATTTTTAGTTTTTCGCAACCGGATTTTGGAATCTGCTGCAGAAATGATGGACTTACATGCCCGTCATAAAGTAGTTCTTGAAGTGGAATATGATGAAGAAGTTGGTACTGGTCTTGGACCGACATTGGAATTCTATACCTTGGTCTGTCAGGAGTTCCAGAAATCCGGAATGGGGATGTGGAGAGAGGATAATTGGTTTTTCCCATTAAAGACAAACTTGCCGGCTGACATGAGAATCCTGTCTCCCTATGGACTCTTTCCTTGTCCATGGCCTTCACCGCTAGAATCATCTGGTGGTATACAGTTCTCCGAAGTAACAAAGAAATTTTTCCTTTTGGGCCAAATTGTGGCTAAAGCTCTTCAAGATGGAAGGGTCTTAGATCTGCATATGTCCAGAGCCTTTTATAAACTTCTTCTTGGAAAGGTACACCAATCCTCGATGCAATTGATGAGCTTCCCATGAGCTTGAAACCCAACAACTGTGAATTATTTGCTTACAGATGATCATTATGTTTGACATGGTCTCTTTGTTTGCTTATCATCTCTTTAGGAACTCTCTCTCTACGACATTCAATCATTTGATCCTGGGCTTGGTAGTGTGCTTCAAGAGTTTCAGGCTATCGTTAACCGGAAGAAATTTTTGGAGTCTGTTTGCGGAGACAACTATGTGATGGAATTTGATGCATGCTTTCGAGATACAAAAATTGAAGACCTTTGCCTTGATTTCACTCTTCCTGGGTATCCTGACATTGCTCTTACTTCTGGGAGTGATCACACAGTAGTAAGATATTACTTTATGCGATTGCTATTTGTTTTTGTTTTGTTATTTTCATTGGTGATAAGAATTTATATTTTTTGGGTAGGTGAATATGAGAAACCTGGATGATTATGTTTCACTTGTTGTGGATGCCACTGTGAAGTCAGGAATTTCCAGACAAGTTGAGGCTTTCAAATCTGGTTTTAATCAGGTTCTGTTGTTATTCGCTTTGACTAAATGATGCTTAAAATACTTTCTAATGTTTTTTAGTTTTGAACAATTGAGATGATTAACACACAAACCTTTTATATTGCTATATTCTCTCTCTGTCTGTCTGTCTGTGTGCGCACGCGCAAGACCCAAATGGTCAAGAGAATTGGGGTTCACATATTATATGATGAACTGAACGAATTTGAGCTTAAAGCTAACACTTATATTCAATATTATGAGGGTTACTGTTGCATGATTTAAGAGGTAGGAATCCAAATGATGAGAGGTGGATTCAATTTTGAAGCAGAATTAGCTACTGCTTAAACATAGACTGTCAATTGAATAAGATTCGTTTTGTTTTTAGGCATTATGTTGATCATAAGTTTGTCAACTCCATCCCCCGTTTTATATTCTGTATTTTTTTTTTCACTTAGAATTTACAGAATGCTTCTCCTTCTCGTCCTCCTTTTTCTAAGATCCTGTAATTGTCAATTAATTTGGTAGTTTTTTTTCTTTTTCTTTTTTTTAAATCTTGTGATTGTCAACTATTTGATTTTTAATTTTTTTGGTCAACTCCAGGTCTTTTCCATTGAGCATCTTCGCATTTATAATGAAGAAGAACTTGAGCGATTGCTTTGTGGAGAATTTGATTCTTGGGCTGTATGTATATATTTAATTTCTTAACATGTATAAACTTGTTTTTTGCTGAGAGGAAAAGTATGAAAACAACTAAAATTTAATAATCTCTTTTGAGCAGTTCCTTGAGCTGGCGGATCACATTAAATTTGATCATGGGTATACTGCTAGCAGTCCTCCAATCGTTAATGTGAGCCTTCTTGTTTTTCAATTAACGTTATATGTTTCTTTGGTGGTTTCGGCTGTGTTTTGTTCACCCAAATCTCATGACCTGTTGATTGATTCTTTGGAATGTCAGTTGCTGGAAATCATTCAAGAATTTGACCATGCACAGCGAAGAGCATTCCTTCAGTTTGTGACTGGGGCACCTCGACTTCCTCCTGGCGGACTGGCATCTCTTAATCCCAAGTTGACTATTGTGAGAAAGGTATGCGGATATTAATACCCTATAAGATGAATTCGTGGTTGTTGGAACTCCTCCTCATACGTTTTTTTTTTTTTTTGACAGCATTGTACCAACCGGGCAGACACAGACTTGCCTAGCGTGATGACTTGTGCAAATTACTTGAAGTTACCTCCCTACTCATCAAAAGTACTTTCTCTTACTTTCAAACTTGACTAACTAAAGCATTCAGAAAATAATGCTCATAAACTGGAGTCTAATTTCTTTGGTCACTTCTTTTTTATATAAAAATTCCAGGAAAAGATGAAAGAGAAGCTCTTTTATGCCATAACTGAGGGACAAGGATCATTTCACCTTTCATAAATTCACTCTCTTGACTTGGTCCGCATTTCAATGCTGAACCTGTAATTATTAGAGTAGTCGATAGAGATGTAGATAAGGATCTGAATGTGTTGCTGGCAAAAGGGGTGTTGGTTGGAAGAGGAGCTGATTTGCTGCTGAAGGAGAAGAAGCTCCAGTCTTCACTGACTATAATTGTTGGGGTGTGTACATAGCCCGCAAATACGGGTAGTTCATTGACTTGGGTTGGTTGTACAGGGACCAGGGTACTTTTAAGTGGTTGCTTTTTCAGATATTTTCATGTACAGAACTGTGTACAGAAATCTCTTTGGATGGTAGCCTTTTATTTACATCAATAGTTGCCTTTCGCCTTCAACGGCTTATATTTTCTGCTATTTATTGGATTTTCAGAAAATTGTTTTCTTACAAGGGCATACGCCAGTCGTTTTACTTGTATATTCTGACCACTTCTGCATTTTGTTATCGCCCTGTTTGTTACTTAATATCTTTAATGCCTCAGCGGTTCAAGCCGATCATGTTTGATTACTGGCTGGTGCCCTTTTCCCTAGAGCACCCCCGAAGAAGTCAAAATCATAACTTTACTCCGCGAGTATCTTCAACCAAGTCCCCGCGGAAATAACTTGCAGTGTCCGATCCCAAAGTAAAATTAGTATGTGTAGGAATTTCATGAGTTTAGATCATATGATAATTTCCAAATGTTCCACTTCTAAAGAGGTACGCACGCGAAGATGACTGGACAGTGGACGGTTTTTGTGAGTAGGGGTGGATATGGCAACTAGATGTTGTGACAAATGACAATGTGTAACGCGGGAAGCCAGGGTTCCAGGATCCATCCCCATTCTTCAAGCTGTTCGCATATTAATTAATGTTCTAATTAATACATACAATATTCCTTAACAAAATAATCTTTAAGTATATCAAGTAATTTGTGAGTTAAGGATACTTTTTCTGTTTTATTAATCAAAAGGTATTTGGCTGTGTTTTGTAGTTGTACCAAAATAGTGTTTGTAGAGAATCAGATTAAGAAGCGACAAATTAGTTTTTTCTTATTGTTAATTGTATTGAATATAGGTTAAATTATGAAAAACTTTATGAATTTTGATTTATATGTAAATAATTATTCCCCTTTAAAACTTAATTAAACTTTTAATTTTGTGTAAATAACCCCCGCTGTAACTTATCTTAGTGAACTTTTTAATAAAGCACCCCATATTATTCATCAAATATGCCTTAAATTTTCTTCCACACTCGTACATAACTCTTTCAATCTTTGAATTATAGGCAGAAGATACATATACGCTTTCTTTTTTACGTAAAAATCTAGTACATCGAAATTTGTTTTTTGGCCTGCCAAGTACATCGAAATACTGCATATAAAACAACGGATAAATTAATGACGAAGATGTAATTTGCACAGATCTACGAGCTTTAAAAATTCATTATAAAATTTTAAAGATAGAAAATAGAAGGGAGAATTCCAAAAAAATTTCTTTAAATTTTAAAATTTCAAATCAGTTTTATTTATTACGTTTTAATAACAATTGACAACATTTAAAAGATAAATAACAACACATTTTTATAGTTATTACTAATTTTAAATTTTAAAATTTTAGAGGTATGTTTTTGAGATTTTTTCAAATATTAACTCTAGATAAACTAAAATCCAAGAGGTCACATATGATTTCGCCTTGAAAACTAATAAAAAGGGAAAAATACTTCATTCTTCCGATAATTACAAATAGAAAGCAAGAGTAAAAATATAATGATAACAAATTATATTTAAATTAGCATATTGACTGTACAAATTTGTTATATACTATCTCCGGTTCTAATTATAAGAGCTAGTTGACTAATTTAATGAGATTAAGAAAATAAGTTAAGTAAGTCATTTGTAATAAATAAATGTTGTCTTTTCTAAATTATTTTTGCTAATCAAGCATGTTAGCTAGAACTACCATTACTAGAAGGACTACCTTAGGAAAAATACATAAATATTAGAGACAAAGTGGATTGGAGTTTTATATTTAGAATTAAAATAAAAATCAAACAAAATCTTATATTAAGAACCGGAGGTAGTATTTCATAAATGGATATTCTTTTTTTTTTCGTATAGTTATCATATTTAAATTAATTAAATCAATATTTATTACAATCAATTACATTACAAATTTAATGACGAAATATAATGAGCGACATATAACCTTTTTTTTTTTAAAAAAAAATGAAGCTCTGCGGCTGTGCGGCACATGCCACGTCGTCGAAGGATGATTCTTGAGTTCTCTCCCTATTTGTCTATGATTCGAACCGAGAAAGGCATTTTGGCACGAAACCAGCTTTTCAGTGCCTTACCCTCCCCTGAATGCCTCCCTATTCTTCCATCCTTCCGAGCGTGAACCGTCCAATGCGCTTAGTTGGTAGTCTGAAGCGAGCTGGTCCTTGGAAAACAGGTTCGCATTTTTCTCCCACTCTTCTCATGTGGTTACTCTATTGAGGTGTTTGCAATTCATCTTAAATAAAATCGCACATATGTTTCTTATTTTAGGTTTTCCATAATGTCTACTATTTCTGGCCACGTCGATTTAAATACCGATGCCGTTCTGGTTGATCGGCAAAACGAGGTGGCTGTGTTTGATTCATCAGAAACGAATGCCTGTGGCATCGTCCCTGCGTCTGTTGATAATGGGGTCAAAGTCCGCGATCATGACTTTTGCCGGGTCGGAGATAGTCTAGGAGTGAATGAGTCGGTGAAGCCGGGTTACGATGAATTGTCTTGTGGAACCGGACGAGAGGGTTTTGATAAAGATACTGAAGTCATGCAGAGAGCAAATGATATGGAGGTAGGGGCAGAACTTCTTCGTGGAGTTTTCAGAGCTGATAAATGCTTGGATTCCGCATTAAACTATGGCGTTGTGAATGATGTGGAGTATGGGGACGAGAGTGGAGTTACTGATAATGGCTTAACTAGCATTGAATTTAAATTAAATAAGGAGGCTCAAGCAGAGGAGAACCAGATCATTTGCCGTAATGCGGGCAAAAATGCTAAAGATTTTGGCGATGAAGGGAATGGAAGCGAGCGGAAGTGTCATGTTGATGAGTTAGCAGACCAGGGAGCTATCAAAGTTATGGGAGATGAGAACAATGTCAACGCTGCTCATGTAGCAGACCAGGGAGCTATCAAAGTTATGGGAGATGAGAACAATGTCAACGCTGCTCATGATAAGGTTTCTACGGATGGTCCTAATCATCATTGTGCCTCAAGAACTTCAGAATCTGTGTGCCAATCGCTGGATGGCGTTCTACATATGGAGGCCAAGGACGTTAATTTTAAAGAATCTTTGCATCATGAATTCCCAATTTCAAGAAATCATCTTTGTCAGGTAGAAACTTCACATCCTCTGAAAGAGCCATCCCATGAAGTTTGCGCACAACCAGAGGCGCTAAAAAGTCAGACCATGGACATCAACCTGACTGAAGTATTGCCTTTGGGAAATATTCAAAACGAGTGCCATGGTCTTAATCTTGTTGTAGATTTTAATTCATGCAGAAAGTTGGTGCAGATTGACATGAATATGAAATCATTGTCTTCAGAATTCCGTGTATCTGATTTAGTATGGGGAAAAGTGAGGGGTCATCCATGGTGGCCTGGCCAGATCTTTGATCCTTCAGCTGCATCAGAAAAGGCAAAGAGGTATTTTAAGAAAGACAGTTACTTGATAGCTTATTTCGGGGATCAATCATTTTCTTGGAACGATGCATCAAAGATAAAGCCATTTCAAATGTATTTCTCACAAATGGAGAAACAGAGCGATTTGGACAATTTTTATCATGCTGTTGATTGTGCATTGGATGAGATCTCAAGACGAGTTGAGCTTGGCTTATCCTGCCCCTGCACGCCTGAAGTCCTCACCAATCTTAAAACCCAAATAATTACTAACGCTGGAATCCAGGAACACTCAAGCAGAAGAGATGGAGGGGACAGGTTTCTGAATGCAATCACTTTTGAACCCAAGAAACTTGTCAACTTCGTTCAATTATTAGCAGAGTCACCACTTGTTGAGTTTGATAGATTGGATTTGGCAATAGCACGTGCCCAATTTTTGGCCTTTCGCAATTCAAAGGGTTATTCTCAACTGCCTGAGTTTGTAGCGAATGATGCGTTGGTCAAGGATGATACGGAAATTATAACCATGGACGTGGAGGAAAAAGGGCAATATGATGATCAAATTGATAGCCAAGGATTGGAAACTGATATTGGCTATTCACCAAAGCGAAAGCACATCTCTGGAAGAGATTGCGTGTGGCCCTGCAAGAAACAAAAACGTTTGTCTGATTTGATGTCTGAAAAGAGTTTGCGTCTCCCAAATGACGAGCATGCTTTGGGTGGGGAAGCTGATGGTGATGAGTCGATTCTGTTTTCTTCTACATGGAAGGCATATGAGAACACTTCTGATGATGATTGTCATAAATCCCGAAATATTATTCTTATCCAATTGCACGAAGTTTCTGTAGATGAGATGTGGTGGCAACTTCGCTTGGCTGCTAGAGATCCCACAAGAGATGGCTGCTTTACTGTCATGGTGAATTTTTTTGCAGAATTCAGAAATTTCTCTAGTCCACATTATTCGACGCTAATGGAGCTCTGCAATGATTCTTATTGGACTGACAGAATTATTCAGAGTATTCCTGAAGAGCAATCATCGTTAGAGAAACAGAATGAGAGGGAGGAGTTTCTGCCTGTGAATCCGGCTGAAGGGGTTGCTCCCTCTTTCAAACCGCAAGCAGGTGTTGATGGGAAGGAACGTTTTGATGAGAACTCTAAGGAAGGTACCTGCCCAGCAGCCCTGATTCTTGAATTTACAAACCTAGATTCTATTCCTTCAGAAACAAGCCTCAACAAAATTTTTGGCCGCTTTGGACCATTGATCGAATCACAGACCAAACTGTTGAAGAGAAGTAGACGTGCCAAAGTGGTTTTCAAAAGACTTTCTGATGCAGAAAGCGCTTTCAGCAGCGCTGGGAAATATGGCACTTTTGGACCTTCACTTTTTAGATACCACCTCAAGGTTATGCCTTCATCATCCAAAGCCCCTGTTGGTGCAGGAAAGCGAGGCAGGAAAAGAAGTTCTGGGGAAGGCGGTGAAGTCTAGTGCCTTGGCATATATTGCTTTAACCTTAGATATGACTTTAACGCTAGGTGTTTTCTTTTGTCCAAGTCATTGTTCTTATTTTAATCTTTGATAAGCTAACGTGTCCAGCATGCTAATGCATAGGAGTGAACAGCCTGACTAATTGATGACGTAGGAATCGCTCGGGATACGATCAAGTCGATATAGTTTAGACTGATCATGCTCTAGCAAGTAGTAGCTGATGTGATGATAATTACCAGGTTCGAGCCGATAGGACAGTATCAACCTTTTTGTAAAAGTGAATCCACATATGTTACTGTAATTATTAAGTTTGGTGTGTTATGAAAACCAAAGGCTATAAATCTTTTGAGTATTTTACTGGTTCACTTTGCTGGTAATCGGTTAGTCGTTTCCGTTTAAGCTATCCATTATTTCATTATGTGTACTGGTAATGCTGTGGATTACTGGGGCTCGAATAATTGTCGCTCAAATTCTTGTTAAGCTCACTCCAACCGCACCAAAAAGAAAAACAGAGGGAGAGATGATAGAACAAATAGTGCAACGCATATAATTTCTCTTTGAACTGCAAACGAGCGATGAGTGTCTACAAAATTTTACTCATGAATTTAAATCTATATAATTTATCTCAGAGAAGCAACGGTCATGTTGGCTTTCATTGAAACCCCGGTTTAATGCATGTGGACTCACTGCAGAATTCAAATATTTTATTTCATTCTAAGGGGCTTGGGGTAGCTGAAATTTGAAGGCGGAGTGATTGAAATCATTGATCACATTGGATTTGGCAGCTTTGAGACTTGAGACTATGGAAACGGGAAGAGAGACGATTTTTTTCCCAAAAAAAAGAGCAAAGCATGTTTGGGTGGAATACTTTGAATCACTCCACTCCAAAAGGTTTAGCATATAACGTGTTTGCGCACATATTATATAGATCATATTATATTATAATCTAAAACTTTTTCCTACTTCCTTCTTAATAATAAAATATCAGAAAATATGAATAATTTTTTCAACTAAACTACAGGACGAGACAACACTTAAAATTAAAATACACAGTATTTATTAAATTTCTATTCTTTTCTATTTAACGATGTTAAACTATTTTTAACCCCGTTTTTCATTGTTAGGGCCAGTGGTTTCATTTCATGAATGAAAAAGAAATTATATTAAGGGTAATAAATATAATACTAAACGTTTTTTCAGGCCAAAGATACTAAATACTAAAAAATATATAAAAGAATTCACATATCACTACTCACTAAAAGAAATTGATGGTTTGAAGACTGAAGCCCAAGTTCGTTGCGGCTCAATGATGTCACACGGCGCTCCCACTTCCCCGGCCTTCTTCTATTGTGTGTCATCCTCGTTTCACGCCTTTATTTTTATTTAAAAAAGGTACATTCTTATTATTTTTATTTATTTTAAATCCAATTATTCAAAGAGCCGCTACTCCTAAGTTCAAAATTCTCAAACCAGACAACTCCCTCCCATCTTGGGCACTGAGATTTGCCCTACTGATCCTCACTTTCCATTGTTCTTTCAGAATCTCTCACATCTTGCCTTATCTTCGCTGCTTTTAAACGCGCTTCAGATCGATCATATTTTCTGAAATGGAGGGTTCGCAAAGAAAGAAGGCTGCTCAAGACCGTCGACTTAGTATTATCGACGTTTCGTCGGCCGACGACTCCCTTCTTGATCCCCTTTCGGGGAATCCTGACAAGCAAGATTCGGGCCACCTTTCGGTTGGCTTTTTAAATCCCAATCCCCTGCGATGTTACTCAATATTTCGTTTGTCCTGAACTCTGATTGTTGGTTGGAGTTTTGTTGGTTAACTTGCCTTTACGTTTCTGTTAAATTGTTTCCCTGGTGTTTGTTCGTCCTTCAAACGTTGTTGGAGCCTTGAACTACTGATGGTTTTGATACTTGCTCTTGTTTTGTTGGGCATTTCTTGTTCGTTTGAACTACATAGGGTATTTCTGGTTATTTCTTTCTGTTTTTAAGGAACAGAAAGCAAAGAAAGAAAAACTTGCTTGCTGCAAAATTTCAGTGGTATCAAGGTTTTAGTGTTTTTGGGAAATAAGTAGAACTGATTTTGAGCTACGTAGTTACGAACTTATGGTCTCATTATAATGCGATATCCTCAGAAATCTCTACCTGTTGTAACATCTTGACTTCAGTGATATGTTTACGATTTTATAACCAGATGAAAGTCATTCACGACATTTTTGTCAGATTTATACATTTAGAGGCTAATGGGACGAACCATAAGTGATGTTATGATTGCCAGTTTTTGCATTGGTTGAATTCTCAGTCACTCGACTGTATTGTTATGGTGGATTACACGTTACAAAGTGTTACCCGGTACTATTTCCTATGTCATCGCGAAACGTTGGGTTTAACATATTATTTGGAGGACCATGCACTCCCCCCCCCCCCTTTTTTTGGCCACGGATCAATATAGGGCTATGCAGTGATCTCATGTCTGCTTCATTTCTGAGATCTGTGTGCAAATCTATGTAGAGTCTCTACCCGTTCCCCTGTTTCAAGTCTACTATTTTTCTTCTGCTTTTTTCGAATTAATATGCATATTTTTCAGTTCTTATTTGAATAACATGTTTTCAGACAACCAAGAGCAGGCAGAGTTGCTGGACACTCCGAACTCAAGAAAGTTTGAGGATGCATCAAGCAAACTTGAAGAGTGGGAGCAAGAGCCCCGACCAAGTGAACCTTTGAAATGGGAAAGACAAAGAAAAACAAGTGCAATCTGCGTAAAAGTTTAGCTTGGGATAGTGCTTTCTTCACAAGTGCTGGTACATATCTTTGAACCCTTGGAATTTGCGTTTTTTTCCCGCCACTAAGATGTCTGCTGTGTTTCATTGCAACTGCCATGTGTATGTTGTATTCAGGTGTTTTGGATCCTGAGGAGTTGTCCAGCATAATTGAAGGTGTAGAGAAGGATGAAAAGCATGCGTTACGGGAATTAAGGAGGATTTATACATGTCTTGTGATTCCATATCTACATTAGAAAGTGATAGCTTGACGCTGGAAAGTCTAGAGGCTGATTTATTTGAGGACATAAGAGCTTCAATTCAGAAATCAGGCAAGATGTCTGATGCGGCATATGGAAAGAGCAAAGTGTCGTCAGGGGTAGCAGGATTCCAGACTGATGACTGTAAGCAGCCATTACCAGGAATTAAAGAGGACGTGCACAGGTCCTGTGAGTCCATCTCTACATTAGAAAGCGATACCTTGACTCCAGAAAGTATGGAGGCTAATTTATTTGACGATATAAGAGCTTCAATTCAGAAATCGAGCAAAACTTCCGATGTGCAGCTGGATAGAAATAGCCCAGTGCCATCAAGGGTTGTAGGACTCCAGACTGGTGACGGTAAGTTTCTATTCACTCACTCTAAACTTTTTATTGTCGTACCATTCTCCCTAATTAGCAAGCTTAAAAGCGTTCATTAGGAAAGTTTTGTGTAGAATTAGAATAGATGAAGCTCCTTAAGCCACGATCTTTCTGCGTGCCATTAATTTTTCCTTTGCACATTTGACCATGTTAAGAACAAGATAGAAAGCACGTTGAACGTTATTTAATCGCTCTGTTCCTACTTAATTTTTTTTTCCCTTTCCAGTGTTAGAGACGACTGGAATGACTTCTGGGAACAAGGTAGGGCTAGTTTTATTTACCTGTACATGTTTATAATATGAATTTTTGAATTATTTCCTTCTTATCTCAAGACAAAAATAATTGACAATTTGAAGAAAAATCTCTTCATCAACTCTGTTTATTTCAGTTGAGAGCCTCATCTTCTAAGAATTCAAGTACTACCAGCGTGCAACTATCGGGAAGAATGACCAAGAATCATGCCCGTCCCCCAGTTTTACAGGTATGAATATATAGAAAAGCAACAAGAGAACTTATGGCTCTCTGCAAGCAAGTGGTCAGGAGTCTTAAAAAAAAATTTTGGTGACTTTATGTAGCTGA